GGGGGGAGGACATACGTTTTTGCCTTTCAGCTGAGGGTGACAATAAGCACACCTAAAATAGAAGTGGTGGCCTTTTCACGCACTGTGCCCTGGAGTCCTCTTTTTCTATGACCGTCTATGTCTCAAAACATTAAAACCAAAATATATGAATGTACTAAAAATAAACAAGTAATAAATTGGTCGGGGGGGGGGGGGGGGGTAAGTGATTATCCAAATGACCTGAAAAGCAGTAAATACCGAATATGAACAGAAGAAAGTAGGTAAATTGCCTCAAAAAGACACGAGCTGAGCTTTCCAGCGGCTGTCACGGTAGAGCTCTTTCGCGCATGCGCAGAGCGCTCTGTCCTCTCCGAGTCCAGGAGATTGTTGGAGGATGATGATGCGGCTGAGCGGCCGGCGGGGACCTCATGTAGCTACAACGGACCGGTCTTAGCCATAGATTTTCCCTTGCCTTGTCTAGTTTCTTGCCAAAATTTGCTGTTCAATGTGGAACTGTAAACCGAAGCGGCGCGGAAACTAATTAGCAGCAACAAGAGAAAGAAAAGAAGAAGAAGAAAACGGAGAAGAAGAGTGACTTGGACAGAGCTAGGCATCAAATTACACCGGATGTTATTATTAAACGTTTATAAATATCAAAGGCGTAAGTAACATTTTTGTTTGTTTGTTTTTGTTTTAACATGTTTTTTTTATTTAGCTTTGCGTTTGCTAAATGTTCATTTACAATATTGGTTGTATAAACCTGGTGAACTCACGGTTATAGAGGTTTTTATTAGACGTTTTATTCCTGGATTCGCTGGTGTGAATCACATTTTCTGTTGCTTTTAATTCTCTGCTTCATCTCAGACACCCACCTGTTAATCCCAGCGATTATCAGTCCACCCATTTAAAAATCCCCGGAATAAAACAGGTGTAAATGACATTATTAGCCAGCCCTCATATCAAAACATGAGCCTTCCTGTGTAGAGTTGATCCCTGTGTATATTACTGCAACATCCCAATAAGTGTGCTGTGTTGTCTTGTTTAAACCATTAATGTCTTCACAGTGAGTAGATTTGTCTGTTTCTTTGCACATGCAGACACTATTCAAAGAAGAGGCTTGGCCATTTGTTCTTAGGCCTACATCTAAAGCTGGTTGATCAACTGAATTTAAGCCTCTTGAGCGAAACCTGCTGACACATGTGCCCCAGTCTTTTTGTTCACAGACAGACCCAGTTAACCCCCTCTGATCTGCAGCTCAACTAAACCCTGACTTCATGCGTGTCATCAGATAAAATCGTGCAAAGACTGCCCACCGTAAAGTTTTTTTTTCTGCTTTTTTTTACACACCCATGTGTGCAACAGTGAGGCTGAGGGCTCACCACTAGTAGTTGTTAGGATATAGTGAGCACTTAATTATTTAAAGGACAGCTGATCTGATTCATTGGATTAATAATAGATTAATACGATGAAAAAAAAAAAGCTCTCAGCTCTAGGGTGGATAAAAGCTTTTGTTATGTAATTAGTGTCAGTGAAATGGATTCGATTCAGTTTATTTAAATAGCTCCAAGTCACAACAGAAGTCGTCTCAGGGCACTGAACAGAAACATTCACATATTATAAAAGCCCATTAGTAAAAGTTATCTATCTAAGATAGCCAGCAGATTGTGTTGACTCTTCGTTTCGTCGCAGTCTCCCATCCTGAACAAGCACAAAGGCAACAGTGGAAAGGAAACACTCCCTTTTAACAGGAAGAAACCTCCAGCAGAGACAGGACAAGCGTCCATTTGCTTTGACTGACTGTGTTTGAGAGGAACAGGAAGGAGAAACAGACAAACATAGAATGGAAGGTCCAGGTGAACTATCTGCTGGAGGGAAGACAAAGAAAATCACGTTCAGGATATAAATAACTACAAATACAAACAGGTGGAGTAGAGGAAGTAAAGACAGCAGCAGAGTGAGGAAATGTGGTCATTTTGTCCTCCGGTAAGCCTATAGCAGCATAACTAAGGGATAGCTCAAGAAACCCAAGCTGACCCTAACTATAGGATATATCAAAAAGGAAAGACTTAAGCCTAATCTTAAAAGTAGACAAGGTGCCAGCCTCACCAACAGAAACTGGAAGTTGGTTCCACAAGAGAGGAGCCTGATAACTAAAAGCTCTGCCTCCCATTCTACTTGTGGAAACTCTAGGAACCACAAGTAAACCTGCAGTCTGAGAGCCAAGTGCTCTGTTAGGGAAGCATGGAACAAAAAGATGTGTAATATAAGATAACTGTACATCTTTGTTATTATTTGGGGCGGCTGTGGCTGAGCGGTTAGAGCAGTCGTTCTCCACTTCTAGAGTTGGGGGTTCGATTCCACCAGCCAAAGTGTCCCTGGACAAGACACTGAACCCCTCATTGTCTCCGACGTGTCCCCTCGGTGTATGAATGTGACCTAAAGAACTGATTAATCTTTGCATAGATCTAGTAGAGTGCTGTATGAATGTGTAAATGAAGATGTAGATTGTAGTGTAAAGCACTTTGAGTAAGATAGAAAGGCGCTATATAAGTGCACTCCATTTACCATTCTATTACCTGCTTACAGTTTATATTACACATTTATCTGTCTATCTATGAAGGATGAAGTTGAAAAACTGCATCTATTCCTTTAACTGCTACTACTTATAAATGCAGACTGGAGCAGATCCAGCTTATTTTTTTGTTTGGAACTGTGCGGAGAAAGGTTCTGTCAGGGTTTAGTCTATACCTGTGGTTCTTAAAGTTGGGATCAGGAGAGCCCATTGTTGGTTGTTAAAGGGAGTAGTCTCGTGATGAGATCCAGTAATCAAGTAAAATGTTAGGATGAATGCTTGTGTTGTTTTGTTTTTTCAGTAATTGTTGTAACATATAAAAAAATAGCTGTCATAAATAGATGACAATTCTCTGACAGTTTGCAGTTATTTTATCTTTATTTAAGTCATTTCTCAGCAGCAGTCCTAGATTACATCAGTGATGGCGTCATAGACTGTACATCTCATTGACCAAGTGACCCTGGGTTTATTTTTTTCATTGTTGTGAGTTGAAACCAGCAGGACCCAGTCTGTAAGCACTGCCAAGTTGTATTTGTGGAACCAGAGTCTGTGCACTAGCGATGGAGAGGCTTTAAGTCTTACGTACTCCCCCGCAACAGTCATAGTAGTACACGATCCTTGTACAGTAATGAAAGCTAACGGATTAAAATCAAATATGTTTTACCAAACAGAAACAGTGTAAGAACTGTGTGTATCAACAAAAGTCAACACCTGAAAAGAATTATCTGAGATTTTTTAATGATTATTTGAAAAGGGTAGTGTCTCATTATTTTTACATGGGGGGAGCAGGACTTAAAAATCATACTGGAACCAGCCATCAAGAAGGCTGATCCTGATCTGGCTTAAATTCCAGGTCCCATCAGAGGTATATGTTTTGTATATCTACTAAAACTACTTCTAGCTGCAGCAATATATCTGTTGCTGTGTGTTGAATGATCCTAAACCTGACAGTTTTTATTAAATTGTGGATGTGAACAACTTTTTTCATGGCTCATCTGTCTCACTTGTTAGCTTGTGCCAAATGCAGTTCCATTAAACATTTGCAAATTTTCTGCAAAAGAACACATTTGTTCTACCTAAAGACCTGTTTAAGGTGTTTAAACTGCACTAACGTTGCAACTTGCATGTTAGCACATGCAGTGATACAATGAAAGTTTTATACTTTTAGGCCTCGTCTACACTACTCCATTTATAGTTTTTAATTGAGATTTTCTATGGTGTTTACACCGCTCATTCATATATAAGTAAAGTTTCTTGTGAGAAAAACTGATTTAAAATAATGTTTTCCAAACCCCATGGACTTGAAGTATTTAGTTATCAAAAAGTGATGACATAACAGCCTTTTTCTCACATGTCCACCTTCAGTTTATACCCTAGAAACCAACAGAACAGTGTAAACAAACTGGTCAATTTTTGTGTGTGTATCTTTGCTCACACTGATTCTGTTGCTGTTACTTCAATGATATAATGGTGCTTAACTGAGAGGAAATAGTTAATGATATTAAAAAAAAAAAATTGTCATTTATTAAAAGCAAAAAAATCTTTAGCCAAGTTAAAAATGTTATTTCTTTGTGTTTTTATATGTGCTTAATCTGGAGGTTTATGCCACTTTGTGGCAAGGTGTATATATTTCATCATTTTTGTTATTATTATTATACTTTTTTTTTTATTATTCAAATGGATGAAAAAGCATTAGTTTGAAAACATGAAGTCCTTTAAACTGGGTTTGATAGAAAGTTTTGGCACCAAAATATCATACTCTCCTGATCTTAATATGCACCAAACAAACATGCAGTAAGACTAGAAAGCACTCCAACTAGAGAAGAACAGCTTTCTGTAGCTAATGGTCTCTGACAGGGTGTCCATGGCAGGTAATTTAATTTGTCTGCCTCTCGTTGACTATTCTTTCTCTCCTCGCCACAGAATAATCGAGACCAAAGGGAGAGGAGTCATGGAGGTTGTAACACATTTTGCGAATGACACTGTAGAGTTTTACAAATGGAGCCTTACTATAGCAGGTAAGCTGAGTTCACTTCACACACACACTAGCACATTATATTTCTTTAATACTTGTAGTATCAATAAATAAAAACCTGTAATAATGTATAGGCTAAACCAAAAATGCAATAGCTACATTTTCAGTTTGTTTTTGCCTCTTCCTTGAGGACTGTGTTGTCATCATTGTGTTCCCATACAATGGCAAAATTGGTTCTCTGCATTTAACCCATTGCACCTGGAATGCACCCATGTGGGGCAGTGGGCAGTTATGTGGGCGCCTGGGGAGCAATTGGGGATTGGGTTTCTTGCTCAGGGATACCATGACATGTGGGAATGGCTGGGGATCCAGCCTGGGACTTTCAGGTCCCGAGTCGGCTGCCCTGCCTGTAACCCATCTTGACCCCCAGTAAGGAATTTTACTTTTTATTTCCAGTAAGGAAATCTCTCTTTTTTTCCTTCTTTCTGGGTAAATAACAACTTTTGAAATCAGGAAAAACCTGGAAAATGACTTTCATTTTTCAAACAGGGAAAGCAGGGGGCTTGAGAAAAATATTTAAAAAATCTGGGAAAACTCAGGGAATTTGAACACTGCTCTGCTAATTAAAAGATGCAACAAAGTTCAGTCAGGTCATACATAGACATACAGTACATAGATACTGTATCATACATGATACAGCCACATAGTGCAGCAGCAATAAACATAATAGCTGTCACAATCTATTATTAGTCATATTAGGTGTCACAGAATTTGATCAGGTATTTCATACTGGACTGGGACATCCCTGCAAAAATCAAACAAAGCAAACAGGAGCTCAGGTATCGTCTGAATTTTATTCTTACAATTTACAGATTTTTTTACCTGGATTATTGAGCATGGTTGTCTCAGAGGAGTCGATAGGGGAGAGCACGGGCCCCAGAAACCATCTTATCACCAGCATACTGATTGGTCCACTATGTGAGTGTGCTGCTTGTGGGACTGAGTTTGTTTGTGGCTCCTCGGACTGATGAAGTCCTTTGGATGAAGGAGAAAATGTCTCAAGGAAACAACGTCCAGATGAACTGACTGAACTTTGTTGGAATTTTTACCTGGGTTATTGAGCATGAACTTTGAAAATTAAAAAATGAGCTTTCTGAGAATTTACTGTGTACATGCTAGTATTTTAGTATCATTGAGGCCATGTTCTGCGCCTACTGTGTACACAGGACATCCTTACTGGCTGGATATGGTGGTTTTCTAGTTTCTGATGTTATAAAATGTATTTAATTATTAGGAATGATTGCCATATGCACACACCGTAGGCTACATTATACTTCCTGTCATTTTTAAATGTGACTCTGCTCTGCTCGCCACCTAAGATGCTAAGTTCTGAGCGTTTCATGGGACTGAAATATCTCCGTGGATTTCAGGACCACTCAGGGAAAACTCAGGGAATTTTGTTTTCATGAAATGCTAGGAACCCTGTGACTCATGTCAAAGACTTAAAAGTGAATAAGCATTCACAGGAATTGCTAACACAAAGCAAACCTGCAAAACCTATTGTTTAAAAAGGACCAGATGTTTTGTTTATCTGCTTGAGAGACAATAACTGATGGGGTTTACCCAGTGTTTAAAAAGGAACGAGTTTAACTGTCAGCCATTATTACCTCCAGACAAAAGGGTGGAGAACTGGCCGATGATGTCGTCCCCCTTTTCCACCCTGGCCATCAGCTGCCTGTACTTGATCTTTCTCTGGGTGGGGCCTAAATATATGCAGGACCGCCAGCCCTACATACTCAGAAGGACCCTCATAGTCTACAACTTCAGCATGGTGGTCCTCAACTTCTACATCGCCAAAGAGGTCAGTGTTGTGTGAACTCAAGCATGATGGGTAGCTGATAGCAGATTAACATTTGATCAACTGGACCAAACGCCTGTCTTGGCAGCTTTTTCCATAAATGTCTTGCAGACTACAAGAGACAACGAGTGGTAAAAATACAAAAGAGTTTAACTAAACTTCCACTTTCAAATTTTATTGATTATAAAAATAAAAGATGCACTGCGTGAGAAACCATTAGTGTGGTTCAAATTGATATAACAGATTTATTTTGCTTATCAAGATCAAATCATCTGTCCCACAAAAATAACATGTTGCTTTATGAAGAAGGACTAACTGCTTTATTTCATGATTGTTTTTACCTCTTTGTCAGCAAGCATGTGACTTGTTTCTGAACTGTTCATATGCACTCCCATTTTTATCCTCTTATAGGTTCTCACCCTGCTCCTTTAACATTGCCTCACCTAGCTTTACCATTCCTCGTGGCTTTTCTGTTTGATCTTTTCAATCCAGAAGTTTTCTCAGTCTTGATCTAACTTTGCTCTCTTTTTTCAGCTCCTGCTAGCATCAAGAGCTGCTGGGTACAGCTACCTATGTCAACCTGTCAACTACTCAAACGATGTCAACGAAGTCAGGGTAAGCTCCTCACACACACCACCAAGCCAATATATGAGAAATGTCTATTAATTCAACAAATTGGTGCTTAGACCTTCTCTAATCACACAGAAGTGAGGCTTTCCCGAGTCTGACAGGCGTGATGTTATAATCTTGTTGCTGCTTTAAGAAGCTCACTAATGCTGTTGTGCATTGTAGTAGGAAAAACAAAAAGGATGAGAGCCCAACTTGTTAATCCTCTGCTGGTTTTGGTTAACAGAGGGTGTGGTCCCCACCTCTATTTTCTGCTTTGCTCTGTCACTGCAGTCTGATTTAGGGATCAGAGGTGCCACACGGGTGCTGTCTGTCAGACGAATGAAAACTTCAGCCAAGTTAAACAAGTAAACTCATTTGGAGTCATACTAAATAAATATAAAAATATATATCCTGATGCATGCTCAATAGTCTAAGTAGACAAATCAAAAATCATGAAAAATGCTGTCACCAGCAAACTGGTTGATCCACTTTGAGAAGGTGCTGTTTATAAGACTGAGTTTGTTGCAGCTCCTCAGACTGAAGAAGTCTTTTGGATAAAAGCTGAAACGTTTCAACAAGTTTTTTTTTTGTTTTTTTTATCCATCCAGAGGACCTGACTTAACTTTGTTTGATCAAAATATAAGTTTTTTATTATTATTTCATAATTCATATTTAATTTCATAATTTGTTCAGCAAAAAAATATTTTTGGGTGGTTTTGTGTGCAAAGATGTATTCTTAAACAGTTGTCATAGTAACTTTCTCTAGTAGAACGATAGTAATACATATATTTCTGGAAAAGTCACAGGTTTTTATGACATAAAGTAGAGATGCACAGAAATTAATTTTTTCAAACCGAGCACAAGTACTACGTTTGAGTACTTGTCAGTACCAATACAAATACTAACTAATGCCATTACACTTCTTGAAATTAGTAGAACCTCTCATTATAAATCCATTCCATCAGGTGATTTGTTTAAAATAATGGAAATTAAAATAATTCCTAAAATAAAACTACTTCCAAACATAGTTCATCCTCTACCACCTGACTGAAATGAGAGGTGAGATAAAGTATGAGTACATGCACACGGTATTGCTGTATACCTGAAACTAGAAGTACTGATGCACCCCTAAAATATGAGCATGCCAGTGGGAGATCTCCTCCATTTTCTGAATATTGCATTTGTGGAACTGTGCTAATTTCTATCAAAGATGAATTTTAACACAGTGATGTGTGTGTTTGACATAATTTCCTTTGTGCCTCTTTTGCATCTTCAGATAGCATCTGCTCTTTGGTGGTACTATATCTCCAAAGGAGTGGAATTCTTGGATACAGTCTTTTTCATTTTGAGGAAAAAGTTCAACCAAGTCAGCTTCCTCCACGTCTACCACCACTGTACAATGTTCATCCTGTGGTGGATCGGCATCAAGTGGGTCCCCGGTGGACAGTGTGAGTTGTTTCATTTAAATTCCAGTAGCTGAAATAAGATGGAATCGATTTTCATACTTGTTCGACAATCTAGAAATACAACCAGTGTTACTTCTGATCAAAACTTCTCCACAGCATTTTTTGGTGCAACCATCAACTCCTCCATCCACGTCCTCATGTACGGTTACTATGGTCTGGCAGCTCTGGGACCTCATATACAGAAGTACCTCTGGTGGAAAAAATACCTCACTATTATTCAAATGGTGGGTAAACCTTTACAGATTAACTTTTTATGTAGAAATTTAACAACTGTTCTTATAAATAGTCTATGCATAGAAACAAAATCAAGATGTAACAAACTAAAACATCAATTTGAGTGGGGATTTTTGCCATTTTTATCATTTTTATCACCTGGTTTTGTGCAGCTACACTTTATACAGACATGCAGAATTTGTTAAGCCAAAAAAAAAAGGCTGCAAACATGCCAATATTGAGCTTGTAATTTATTGACGCTCAAGTCTCAAGCAAAACTAAAGTGACTCATGGTGTATTTTTCTAAAACTTTTCGCAGCAAATTAATTTTATTAGTTAATTTATTGAATAGCTAATTTAATTGTTGAATTTATTTAATATTTATTAGCTGTTTGTGGATATTTAAGCGATGTAAGTTTTACCTTTAGTTGAAAAAGTCTTTAAGTACGTTAGAAAGAAGAATGCTGAATGCTTATCTGAAGAAGTCTGAAACAAATGTCTCACTGTGAACCAGAACCTAAAGCTGGTCCAAGCTTTATAATGTCTGTGTGGACCAAAATATTTTATGTGATCTTCTTCACATGAAAATAAGATGAATATTACTGAATCTCATATAAACATGCCGCACAACAAACTGCACATAAATGCCATTTACAGTGCAAATGTCTGCACCTATAATGATTTTGTAAGTGTATACCTGTGTGCAGATGTTTCTTGTCTCAAGCAGTGGTTCTCAAACTGGTGTCCCCGGCCCCCTGGGGGTCCGCGAACTGGTGCTTGGAAGTCTGAAACAAATAAAAAAATACATAGATGTTTAATAACCCATTAAAATACACCAAAATGCAGGAAATCACATCTATTTTATTCAAATTTTTCTGGGGGAAGACCCCCTGCATCCCCCATTTTTATTGCATTAAAGAGACAAATTGAAGAAAAATGTTTCATAAACATGGGTTATGAGGGGGTCCCTGAACCCAAAATTTTGAGAACCCCTGGTCTAAAGCACGACACAGAAAAAGAAAAGAATCTCAATAAAATCAACACATCAATGCTCTTACGTCTTTGATGAACAACTAAAAGGACAAATCAGACTACTGCATATTGGCTAGACATAATAAAAAAAACTGAAATTTTAAATGAAGATTTTTATCTATGGTACATAATGAAGAACAAATGCTTAAAACGTAAACATGTTCATTCTTATGAATGTTCGCTTTTCAGTTTTAAAGCAGAAATATTTGAAGTGTTGTGTTCATTGTCAATCGTTCAACAGATCCAGTTCCACGTAACCATCGGCCACGCCGGCTACTCCCTCTACACCGGCTGTCCCTTCCCCTGCTGGATGCAGTGGGCTCTGATTGGCTACGCAGTCACTTTCATCATCCTCTTTGCCAACTTCTACTACCACGCTTACAGGCGCAAACCTTCTTCGCTCAAAGGAGGCAAGCCGGTGGCTAACGGCACTTGTAGTGTGGCTAACGGTCACCGCAATATGGAGGAGGTGGAGGAAAATGGAAAGAGGCAAAACAAGGGCAGAGCGAAAAGAGAGTGAATAAGGAAGAAGAGTTTTTTTCTGGCAAAACAAAGCAGATAAATGTCAAAGAGTGAGGAAGGGAATAAACAGCGTTCTAACCAGAAAATGTAGATGGGTGTGATATGGGACCAACTTGAGAAGATGAATGGGTTGTAGCGTGTTTGTGAGTGTGTCTAAGTGGAAGAGAGTTGTGTTGTCTTCACAACTCCTTTTTTATTTTAAATGAAGAAAAGCAAAATGCTGATCATGTAGACTCCACGCCTCTCTGTCCATCATTGTGTTGGACTCCGTTAGGACCAAAATATGAACGGATCTGCAATCTGCTCAGCGTCCACAACCAAAATTCACCTCCAACTTTTGTACTCTGGATACTGCTTGATCTGAAAGCTTGAATAGTCTTTAATACTATAATTTATTTATCTGTGCTCTAAAATATATCTAAATAATTTAATTCCAATAAAGAAAAAGCAAAAAGGGAATTTTGGGGGTGGGCGATAAGGAGGAGGTATTTTGTTTACAAATCTTTAGTTAAGTTGAATATGGTTATTAAAGAAAACCAAACAGAGTGTAAGAGTTGTCGTCAGCTGTATTTCACTTCGTTACGGTCCCTTGCAGCATCTAACGTTCAAACCTTATCATGGACTACGCATTCTTTGCTGCTTCCAGTTCCTACAAATGTGCTGCCTCCAGAACAACACGCTGTTATCTTCGTGTTCACTGTGAGCTGAAAGGCCGATGTAAAGCACTTCGAATTAAACTGTAGTTTTTCTTTTAATTTTGCATATGTGAGTATCTTTGTGGAAAATACATGTTTTTGTGAGTCCTCAGAATGTATTTCTTGCTGTGCGATGTAGCTGAGGCGCAAGAAAAAGAAGTCGAATTTCAAAATTGTCTCACCGGCATTTAGGACTGGAGGGAAACGCATCGTTAACAAAGAGCTTCTTTTTTTTTTTTAAGTAAACAGTGGCCATTTTATTGTCTAATTCAACTAAAAATGATACAGCTTCCCTGCTGCACATATAAGTAAAATAAAAACACTGTCAGCACAAGGTATGTTTGTGTGTCATTGTATTTGCAAAAAGGCTGCAGTGGAGAAATGGTTTGATTCAGACTGATGGGCTGAAAGTGACGTGAAGTTCAGCGAAGTGGATTGTTGCCATCTTAAAACAACTCCAGTCTCAAAACTTTATTTCATCTTTTAGAAATGTTTCTGTTGATGTCAGTATTGATTCACATGATTATTCCATCAAAAATACAATATTTTAAATAGAAGTAATGTAGTTGCCATCAACATTAATTACATATACAAGTAGATTTTATTTAATTAATCACTAATGTCAAATTTGCGGGAGAGAAAAGCTAATGTTCACATGAAAGAGAAATGTTTTAGATTGAAGTGGTTTTAAGTTGGAGGCTTTAGTCTTTCCCCCACTCAGATTAGCCATTAGCTCTTCAAGCTATTCTGAGTGGAGACAAGTGGACCAAAGTGGATTACTGCTGTTCTAAAAAAAAAATAAAATAAACTTTAATTTCAAACTATTTATAGCATGTCATACAAATGAACAAAGCCTTACAATCAGTTTCACACTAGTTACACAAAAATTCTGTGGTTACGTACAAGAAAAATATTAGCGAAAGGAGCTAGCTTTAGCACACAGGGTGCATTCTGGGAAACATTTGGCGGGAATGCCTTAATATTCCCGCCAAAATAACCATGCATACTAGCACAGTAATGCTGGTGTGAATGTTTATTTAGTGGCATTTGCTTGAATGCCTATGAAACTGTTAAAGACGAGTTGTTTTATGAGATCCACTTTGGTCTATTTCATTCGGACTTAAGAATTCAGAATTAAAATGTATATCTCCACAGTTGTTTAAAGCAGAGGTTCCCAACCCTGGTCCTCGAGGAACACTACCCTGCATGGTTTAGATGTTTCCCTGCTCCAACACACCTGATTCAGTGATTTAATTACTTCCTCACGTTCTGCAGAAGCCAGCTAATCATCATTCATCTAAACCAGGTGCATCAAAGCAGGAAAACAACCAAAACATGCAGGATGGTGTTCCTCAAGGACCAGAGTTGGGAACCACTGGTTTAAAGAGCTATAGAACAAGTAAGAAATTGTTTATATGTTTTAAAAGATGTGAATCACTTTAACCTCAACCATGCCTTTCCATTCCACTCGTTTTCTTTGGATATTTAAATATTAAAATATTAATTTTATTATTGGAGGATGCAAACCGATATTTAAATATTTGGATCTCCAGTATGGAGAGCTCTCATAATGGACTGTGTGTGCGAAGAGGCATAGGAAAAGGCAGTGTCTTCAGCTGGTTCAGACAGATCTCCCCTAATCTTTGGAAGCAAATTGGCTTTAGCTCCAAAAGAGCTTATTCCCACGTCACTCCAGGAGTTACCCAGGAAAGCAGGTCACTGTCAGTGAAGCTACCTTTAATCTGCAAGCAGTTTGTACCTGTACAACCGTGCACAGGGAGACAAATGTGGCATAAATTCAGAAATCAACTAACTGTTCCATGCATGTTCAATTTTTCAAGCACTTTGCAGCCCACTGCTCCTTCAACACATCGTGCATTAATTACCTGTTTTATTAACTTGTTTATTTGCTGCTAGATTCAAGTTTAAGGTATTTTATCCTACTATCATGTTCTCCACAGTTGCTTAACAGCTGCATAACGCCACTTTTTACACCTCATATCAAGTTGCCCATCCACCACCTGTCACGGTATCCTTTTACCATCAAGGTGGACATAGAAAAGACTCCTGGGAGTGTAGATATGAGTGACATGCTGGATGTGACGAGTGTGAGGAAGTGCATTTGTCCTCGGGGACACAGAAGAATCTAAGCCAACATCTAAGAGGATTGCAGAAGGTCAAGGCTTTTAGCTCAGGTCACAATAACCTGCTTCCCTCCCCCTGCTGCTACAGGAGCATGCACAAACATGAACACACATTCAGAAAATGAACCTCAAGCATAAATGCGTGCAACAGATTATATAAAAATACCTGTATAATACACACATCTGCATGCTGCCATGCTGTTCCGCCCTCGTCTTCAGTGATGTGGACAGGTGTAATGAAGCTTAAAGTAATGGGTTTGCTGACAGTCCACAGACCCAAATATGCAGCAGGGTGAAGGGTCAGTTTGCAGAGGATAAACCTTCACAGACCTGACCCATCACTCACTCATCTCATTAGCCAGTAAATGACTAAGAGACTAACCGAGTGGAAACAGTCAGCGTTTTACTGAGCTCTCAGTTTGTGAAGCAGCTTAACTCAGGGGCTTCTGTTGAGGTTTTTTGGAGGAAGAGCACCATCTTCTGGACCAGAATTATGTCTCAGGATCAGACAGGTCATATTGATCTACATATCATAGAAAAAAATTACAAACTGTAATGAAAAGTTTCTGCTAATTAATTGGGTCGATTTCTGTTTAATCAAATTTAAAACACAAATATTGCTACACATTTTTCCCCAAATCTTAAAATAAGTTTAACTTTTGTATAACTTCTTGTGAGTTATTTTACTGATACATTTGAATTTTAGATTATATTATAAAGTGTTACTGACGTGCGACCACTTAATGACTTTATTTTACACAAAAATGTTATTTAACTGAAAACAGCAACAATAAGCTCAGCTTATGGATATGACAACAAAACATTACTTGCTTTGAACATGTGAGCAAAAATGACAAAATGATCAAATAATACAAATTAGATGGAAGCCACTTTTTACAACAACTGGAATACTTTTTGCTTGGAGTACACGTGACTTGAATGAAGGTTTATTTTAAGAAATAAAATATAAAAAAGCAGGTGGGTCAAAAGACGGGAAAATGTGTTTTCCCATAATTCCAGATAAGTTGATAATCAACAGTAAAATGTCCCAAGCAGTTTTAGCAGGAATAATTTTCCCCCTGTTTGGCATGTAAATTATATGATTATTCTTTATGCGTCAGCAACACGTGATTAAAATGATACTAAAGTTGTATTTAAGAAAGATAATGAAGCAGATTGGACTCGTATTGAGTACGTATCTAGTAAAGGAAAGTGAGTATATAGAAAGCCATATTAGTCTATTTTGGTTGCAAAGAATCTTCTTGCAAATATTCATAATCCAGTTCTTGTGAAGATCCTCTGAAGATTTCAGCTTTCTGGAGTCCTATTTGTCCTATGCACAATCAACTTTTAAGATATGGCATATATATCCCTTAACAAAATTTCTAGTAAAAACTTTCAAAAATAAACATGATACATCTAGAATACAAGTTTCTAATTTATATTGTTATAGAAATTTTGGTATGAATATCTTTATTATATTATGCTGAGATGGCTGAGAACATCTTTCCCTCTTGCTTCTGTAATACATGCCCAAAACATTCTCTTTTCTCGGTCTGAAGGCCGGCTCGCCGACTTGTAGTGCCTAACTGGTGTTGAAGCCATGACAACATGCCCAAAACATTCTCTTATTTCCATTTGGAGGCCGACATGCCGGCGGCCATGGATCATGTCGTCTGACTGCAGCTAGCTATGAGGGAACGCCCGCTGGACTCTGCTGCTGTATCCACCTTATTCCTGGGGGCTCTATTGTATAAATGATTATGGGTACAACTTCCTGTCAGACAGGAAGTAGCAGTAAGCACTGTTTAACCATGGTAGCGGAGCATGAAAAGTGGTTTATTTGAAAGTAATTTGCATTCAGTTTTGCAGATAAAATGCTGTTTTTGTTTTGCTCGCATTTATTTAACAACCATAAAGTTGAAAATGGCTGTGCTGAGTTCAGGTACCTGTTGTGTTTGCAGCTGCACGAAAAACCAGACCAAACTAAATCAGTGACTAGAACAACAACAGTGTTTTGAACACGGACCCAAAACAACAACAACAACAACAACAACAAAAAGTGTTCCTGTGAAAAGAGGTATTAAGAAGAATGTGGCTGAAAAATGTGAACTTGAAGAGGCCACCCAAAACGCTGTATGTGTGTTAATTTGACTTTGTGGACAAATGGCTGACGGAGGAAAACCTGCATCCTACTTTGTGGCTGGACTATGAGAAGAGACGCCGGATCCTCAGAAGGATTCAAAACAGTGTGATGAGAATATCAGGTATGATTTGAAGTGTATGAAGAGCACAGCGTTACAGTATTTGTTCATCTTCAGTATTACAATTTTCTATTTAATTAACCCAAGCTCAGTGATGGAGGACTTTCAAGGCTTTGGCTGGGCTCTATGTCTGCTTTAAGGTAAATAAGATTGTGTCCCACCTCTTTTAACAAAACACGACCGACCTTATTACTGTGTAGATACTAACACACCTCAGAGCTTTTCAGGGTGTTCATCACGTCACCGTCAGAAGAACCGAGTCAATGTAGCAAAATATGTCATTGTATGTAATCTGCAGCCACTTCTTCAGGTCGTCCGCCATTCCTTGTCCGCAGTGGTACGATTATCACTGTCAAAGTCAAAGTTTCTTTATTTGTCATTCCCACCACATGTGGTACATGTGGTGGAACGAAATTGTGTACACAGGGTCCCAGTTACATCC